GAAACCGGCCACGATATACATCCTATTTACGCCAACATTCTTGAAACAGGTGTGAGCGGCAAGAACAAAAGACTGTTTCTGGAATCCTTGCACTCTTTCCTAGGCAAAAACTCCGTAAATGAAAGAGCACCTGTCCCAAGGGTTTACGCGTCACTGGTTGCCTCCCTAGGGGGCAACGAACAATAACGTCCCAGCTTATTAAAAATTCTGTGAATCGCGCGAAATCATCATTCTCTGAAGAAGACCGTAGGAGGCGGTCGAAAATTTAGAGACAATTTTACTTTTTTAGATCTGTTTTAAACGTTTTTTAAAGAACTATGAGCACAGATCGCTTAGGGTGTTAGGGTATTGGGGTATTGAAGTGTTATGGTATTGGGGTACTCGTGTATTAGGTTACTGGGGTATTAGGGTATTGGAGTTTTAAGGTGTTCAGGTATTGCGGTACTAGTGTATTGGGTTATTAGGGTATTACGGTATTAAGGTGTTAGGGTGTTGGGGTACTAGCTCAGCAATCCAGCAAGTCAAAATGGGATCCTTTACAACAAGATCGATGGAGATAAGAAGAGCTCCAGGTGATGAATATGGATGAAAAAAGTCATGCGAACAAATGGGAACGATAGTATGCGCTGTGGTATTAGTGTGTGGTTGGAAGAAATTAATTTGCCGGAGTATTTAGTGAGTATTCAAACATAACTTAACCAGACCACCTACAAGTATATGAAACTATAAAAACAACGACAACAATTTTATTCACAGACACAAACAACTAAACTTACTTTTTAAACAATGTAAAATAATACAAACATTAAACAACAGAAAAAATAAACGAGATATTAAATAAACAAGATTAAAAATCTGCATGTGTAATGACGGGGCGTGAGAAATATGGCCTCGTCAAAGGGGGGAGGTACATTTTTAAAATCAGAATTGGGAAGGGGGTTTAATTTTTATCTGAAATACTTTGGGGGTTTCAGTTTTGAAACACTACACTTTTTTGAAAACCACGGGACGTAATAAACGATCGGTCCCCTAAATGGAAAAAATGAACAACAGCAAAACGTCTACTCTTTATTTGAGAGACTAAAATGGTACAAACAGGCCAAATGTCGCCAACACCAGCTAGACATGACCGTTCAGTTTCAGTTCTAAGCCCTAATTCATATGGCAAAAGCTCAGTTCTGTCTAAAGAAAGCAGATTATCGCCACAATGCAAACGGCGTAATTGCGGGGCTAAATGGCGACCCGTTACATCTCAGGGCCGTTCCATATACGATAATGGACGAAAATTGTTGGACTTGCATCTTCAATGACTTACTGATGACCTCGGGCAGACCTCTTTTAGACAGCAGTTGTTGAAAGCTAAATTAACCAGCTCCTTCTCTGAGTCACCATGCGAACTAAAATTCAAACACGCGACATTCGAGTGTAGACTGGGCTAAACTTAAAAACACAAATTTAAAAAAGGGGTTGGGAGGAGGTGACAAGCAGTTCTCTACACGCTTTACAAGCTGCCGCATTTAAGAAGACTTAAAAAGAAAAAAAGATCACCAGGTTACATAAATGAAGGGGTTCATTTCTTTCAATATCAAAAGAATATCCACCTTTTATTACATGTACGCATTATCACAGGTATGCCCTTCTCTTCCTTGTTGACTGCTACTTGCTACTTCTAGATCCTTTTTCCAATAATTTACAACTGACCCTGTCCTTCACAACAAAGCAGCTATTTTGCAACAACATTGTTGACGACCTTATTTCAGTCATCCTCTGGCTTCGCTCACATTTCTGTTTTGCCTAATTTATCGAAATTATCGAAGTGTCATCCCAACTCATGTCCCAACCGACTCCGTCTGACACCTAGAGCACCTCGAGTCTTTGACACCAAGGGTAGTCCAAGCATCTCATACCAAACAGTACATCATGAGGACTCCATGAAGCTTAGCAACAACTCTGACAACTTGTCGCTACACCTCTAATACCTTTGGCCACTTGTCCTGAAATCTTCAACACCTCAACACTTGTCCCCAAATTTGTGAAGCCTCTGAAAACTTGCCCCTAAACGTACAACACCTTTGACTACTTGTCGTTAAATCTCTTCCCCTCATACCAGTCAGTACAGTGTAATGCACGACAACTGTGACGCTTTCCCCTGGTCTGTAAATTCTTTATCGTGTACACTAAAATTCTCCAGCCTTGCCCCTTAGTTTGTTTTCCTGTGATTTTTTCAAAGCACTTTCTTTAAGAGATGTACCTTTTCTTTGTTTACTGTCACTTGAATTGGAATTCACTCCTGAATCACCTTTCAAATTCTTTACTAAAGTTACGAACGCCTTATTGTCTCCTGTTTCCACTGGGCTTTTCTGTTCTTTACTCCTCACTCCTGTTTCACCTTTTACAGTTCTTTCCACCCCAACCAGCACTCTCTTCTGTTGTGCTGAAATTTGCGTTTCTTGTCCTGTTTCAGTGTTCGGCCATTGTTGGCTATGGTTTGAGCGAGAGGATTTGTTTGTTTGAGTATCTGTGTTCATCTGTGGAGGCAAAAACATGGCCGGAACGTTCTATCAGAAACAACACGCGCGATACAAATGATTTGTTAAGAAAAATTCGTCGCGTAAGGTTTTAAATTTAGTATCTACGACAATATTTTTTAATAACATCAATGATTAAATTCTTAATTTATGAATTAACTTATATTATTGACAATGTTATATTTTTAGATCTTTTATTGTAAATAATCATTTTAATTCCATGTACTTACATTTTAACTAGTTTCTATTTTCTTTTGTTTACTTCTTGATCTTTATTAATTGATGTACATTAATGTTGTTTTATGAGTGGGCTTCATGCAAAGTAGCCTTTTAGCTAAGCGGGGTGGGCACGATAAATAAAGAATAACCTGAACTCACCTCATTACTTCCAAAACAACTAATGTTTAGAAGTTTTCTTAGTCTTTGCACCTCAGCCAAGATATCACTGTAAGCCTAGAAAATAATAATAAAAAAAACACAGTAAGAATATAATGCCTCGTCGCCATATGCCAATCTGCCGGATTAATTTGTTAGAGACGTAAGTGATCATACCTGCATAGACCTATCTAGAACTTGTAAAGTAGTTTGTAGCCTGAACTGATTTCAGCTATGCGGTTCTCTGGTCGCTTATCCTTTCGGTTTCCCAAAAGACAGCTGAAATTCCAGCTAAACAATTTGGTGAAAATATCTTGATCAATTCTCAGAACTGGTGTTCGATAAAGCGCATAGAAATCAGAAAGAGATCTGTGTAAGATTTGAGTTTGGCCGTAAAAAGAAATACAATCAAAAAAAAAAATTGTGACTGAACAGTACTTACTAGACATATAAGAAATCAAACCAAACAAAAGCAGATCGAGGAATGATTCGGTAACGATGTTTGTCATTTCCATTAGAGAGCAATTTAGTTTAGGGTGACAAAATATTACTGACTCACACAAAACAGTATTTTGAATTCACAAGTAAGCTTTTTTACTGTTCGATGGTTGGTCTGCGCAGCACCACTAAACAGAGCACTAAACAGAGCATAACGAAACGCCAGATGATTCAGAACTTCGCCGCCTGCAGGGCTCAAAGTTAACGACCAACTGGTCGCATATGCGACTAGATTTTTGGCTGTGCGCCTAAAAAATCATGTGTGGTCGCACCCTCGCGCCTTAAAAGCCAAAGTACAGTGCGACTTCTCTAGTGCTTACTCACCTGACCATAATAACGTACTCAGATTGATAAATATAAATATAAACATAGATATAACACAACCAGGCACCAAATAACAAAGTTGCACCATTTTCCTTTCATCGGTGTGTGT